GCGCCGAGTGAGCCGAGCCGCCGCCGCCCCCTCCGTTCTTATCCGCCGGGCCACGCCCCCGCCAGCGACCGCCCCGCCCGCTCCCTCAGCCAGGCCTCCCCGGGGAGCGCCGCCGGGAGGGGCGGAGCCGGGCCCCGGGCATCCCTCCGCCGCGGGCCCGAACGAGCCGGCGCCGCTGATTGGCTGCCCCGGTGAATGGTTGCCGGGAGACGAGTAAATCTCCGGGACCGAAAGGGGCGGGGCGCGCCGCGCAGGCGCAATAGAGGGGCGGCGCGGATGCCGCGGCAGCCGCTCGTGCGCGGCTGGGGCTCGGCTTCCCGGCCCTTAGGTCGCCGGGCGCCCCTCTGCGCATCCCGTCACCCCCTCCCCCACTCCTCGCCCACTCCTCCGCAGGCCTGGGGGACCGTTTCTGGGCAGGTTCGCGCTGGTTCTCGGGAGGAATTTCGTGCGGGAAGAGTGGGTGGAGACCCCCACGCCCGAGTCCCGCTTGTCTTGCTTGGGACCTGGGAGGAGACAGGGAGAGGCACGGACGAAGTGGTGATGGGTGGGCGCATGGGCGCGCGTGGGGTGGGGGAGAAGGGGTCGCCTGATCGCTCGAGGCAATCAAGGCGAGGAGAGAGGTCGTGGGAAGGGCCCGCGCGGCGGGTCGGAGTCTGCAGGCACCACCTGCGCGCAGGTCCCCGGACGAGGGGCTGGAGGAACACAGCACGCGCCGCGACAGCACCCACTTCCTGCCAGGGCGCTCAGCTCCCTGGGGGGTGCTAACATGCACACGGGGCTGGACCCCGTTCATTGCAAACAAACGGCAGAGAGAGAGCGGCTTCCATCCATTGCTCTGCACTGAGATCCCGTCTCACTCACCTGTCGAGTCACCTGGCCAGTCACCAGCCCCCCACAAAACTCCGAGCCTTGAGACCCTAGTGTAGGACCCTCTGCGTATTAAACGATGCAATAGAACGCTCTTCTCAGTACAGCGCCTGATATAAAACTAACCTGGATAATAGCTTGTTACTCCACTGAACGTGTTTTGGCCGCCGGGGCTAGGGTGGATTAGTCCCCAGATGCAGTACTTTCCCCATTATCCCACTGCATCCTGCCTAAAGTAAGTGTGATTTTCAGTGTCTGCCAGGATACAGAAGTTTCGGGTTTGTCTTTACTAAAAGGCAAAGAGCTTCCGAAAGGGGAAGGAGCTTCCAGATCATGAAAGGGAATGGCATTCGTGTATTTGTAAGGGTAGCCGCGCTGATGGTTGCTCTACATGGAATATATGGTTGGGTTTTATGTTTTGAGGAATCAAGTTAGCAAGGCATACAGAATTTGTGTGATCGGAACAGTTTGTTTTTACATATGCACATAGCGTGTAACTCAGATCAAGATCTTGAACATCTCCAGCCCACTTCCTGTTCAGTATCCCACAGGGGTAAGGCTGTATTCTGACCTCTGTCATTGTAGATTACTTTTACAGTGTTGAGATGACGTGAATGAAATAGATAGTATATGCAATTTTGTGCCTGGCTTCTTAATTGTGTCTACATGAATCTCAAGCAACCATATCTTTGCTTGTAATGAGTGGTTCATTTTTCATTACTGTGCATCATTTCATTATGTAAGTATTCGATCATTGATGCATTACTACTGTTGGTAAATGTTTGGGTTGCATCATTTTCGCCTCTGTGAATGGAGCTGCTATAAACACCCTCCCCTGTCTTATTAAGAAATACTTGACAAAATTGTACATATCTAACATGTATAGCATAATGTTTTAGCACATTTATGTTGTGAAATGATACCACATTATGTTGTGAAATCTTATTAACATGTCTATGACCTCATCACAGTTGTCTGTGATTGAGTACAAGTGATGAAAATATTTAGTGCTTGGGGGACCATGTACTACCAGTGTTCAAACCTGGGTGTCCCATGCACTTCATCCCTGTGAGCTATCTCCCCATCCCATGATGAGAATACTTGGATCAACTCCCAATAAATTACAAGTATACAATACAGTATAATGACTATATTCATCACGCTCTAAGACAGAGCTAGGAAGTATTTGATATTCCTCACCTGGAAGCTTATACCCGTTGATCTACAAACCACCTTATCCGTGCATTTTAAGGGATATAAAATCTATTTGTAGTGCTTATAATTGGTTGGAATTGAAGGGGCAGAGAGTATACATATACCAAGCTTTAAATATGTGGTCAAGCAGTTTTTCCAACAATTTATATTTCTACCTGGGAGATAAGATTTGCATTTTCACTGAGTTGGTGGTGTTGATCTTCTCAATGTAAAGTGAGAGTACATTTTATAGTATTGTAAATTAAATTACATTTTCTGATAAGAGTGATGTGGAACAACTTTTCATATTATTTTTAGTAAACTGTCTGTGCCTCTCTCACCTGATATCAAGTTATCTATCTTACCAGCTCTGACCTGTCTTTGTAGTGTGTAAGTGCTTGGACAAGGATATATTTTTGTCCGATGTGTGTTTTACAGATATCTTCTCCCCAAATCAGGGACTTTCCTTTTTTTCTTCAATGTTATCTCTTGATGAACAGAAACCTTAATTTTAAAATGCTATAATATGTTCATCTTATCTTCTACCACTAGAACCTGTGGCCCCAAAAGTCATCTCCTCTGTGTTCTTCAAGAAACTTAATTGTTTTAAACTTCACATTTAGGTCTCCGCTAATTTAAAAATTAAATTTTTCATGTAGTTTGGGGCAAATTTTTTTCAGTGTGACTATCCAAATAGGTCCCCAGAATTGGAGCTTTTATTGAGTGAATTAATGAGTGTTTGTTAAATAAGAAGTTTAGTTAAGAAAACAGAATGCCTGGTTACTTAAAATCCAGACTGTCCAAAAATGCCTAGGACATATGTTCATAATTTTTAAAAAAATCAGCACAAATAATTATATTACACAGGCCTTGGACCACTTTGTTTTGTTTTTTTTGTTGTTGTTATTGTTGTTTAGAATTTCATTTATTCCATCAACATAGAGTAGATCATATGGCAGAAATTCTTGCCTAGAACTTGATCTAGCATGGTTTGGTTCCTCCTTTGTTTATGTGAAATTTTGTTCAGTTTCATGACCATTAGGTAATTTTGTGGGAGGAAAGAGAGAATGACCAAAGAGCCCAAACTGAAATTTATTATTTGTATATGTTTTACTTTTTTAATGCCTTGGACATTTTTTGATTCCTGGGCTATCGTTTAACTTTTCTAGAAACTTTTTCAGTTTGTTCTGTTTAATTTCATAATGTTCTTTCTACCTCATAAAACTGGAACTGGACAGAATCTCTGGAAGCCACCAGATAGTGCCCATTGAATATGGAGCCAGATATCGAAACTATTCTGTGGAGATTATTGGGTACTCCTTGCCAATTTCCATCCTGTCCTGGATCACATCCAATCAAAAGGGCTTAAAGACCTTTGTATTCTGAGTGGTTCGCTGAGTGATACCTGGGAAAGTTGTGAGAAGGGGTCTGAGAAGGAGAAACATCTTACAAATGCAGGTGGACCCCCACATGGAGCAGTGCCCCAGAATAAGGTTAGACTCAACAGAATTTACTTTAAATATTCAGAGAAGTAAATGTTATCATGGATCCTTTTTGGAAAGTAAGAAAAAAACACTGGAATAGTACTTAGTTATCCAACTTTATCAGTTTCTTAAGTCTTGAGTATTTATCTCCAGGCAGATCACCACAGTAGACATTTATTAAAATGCCCTCTTATGGGGCTAGCGTGATAGTAAAGCAGGGAGAGGAACTGCTTGGCATACGACTAATGTGGGGGTGATCCCCAGCACACCATGTGTGGTCCCTTCAGCCAGTCAGCAGTGATTTCTGAGTGCAGAGCCAGGAGTAATTCCTGAAACTACTGGGTATGGCCCTAAAGCCAAACCAAAACTAAACTCAAACCAAGCCAAACTATATAGATATATAGATATGAAAATTATGTATAGAGAGAGAGGAGGCGGGGTGGGGATGGAAGTGGACAGACCCAAGAACCCAGGCTAACGAATTTTCACATACTAAACAAACCTGTGTCTCCAGCTCACCTATCAAGAAACAAAGGCTCCCCACAGTCCCTGCAGACCTGTTTGCAAACCACACTGACACCGTCTTCACCCCAGTGAGTGTGGACAAGGTGTGGGCAAGGTATGATTTGGCTTCTTCCCTCCTACCTGGAACTTTTTGCAGGGATCGTCATGCTTTCTCAGGCTCCTTTGGGCCAGTGTTTTTCTTGGGTGCTGCAGAAAGAGAAGTGTGTTTGGAGTGAGAAGGGACAAGGTTGATTTAGAGCCAGGCTCAGTAGGCAGGCCTTGGACTGGGAACTGAGGTGGGCAGGGAGAAGGCGTGGGCTGGCCACTGGTCCAGCGCCAGTATCCTGTGTCAGGCAGACGTGCTGGGGTTTCAGGCACCACAACGGGGGGAAATTGGGGCCCAGATAGGCTAGTGGTGCTGGTGACACCCCCAGAGACAAGAGGATGTCAGATAATCAGAGTCCATGTGACCCCTCCCCCCAAACAAGTGTTTCTCCACCCTCCACACCCCTCTAGTGGTGTGCCCCAAAGAAAAGATGTTGGGTGTCATGAGATTAATTGCTAGTGTCTCCCTCCATGGCTCCCCTCTTCGGGCCCAGATGGGAGTGATCAGCAGCCCGGCTGCCGGGGAGGCGCACGTGATCGCGCAGGAGTGAAGAGCATGTGAAAGCAGTTGCCCATTCACAACAGTGAGCTCTGCCTCCTCACTCCCGGGCCCAGGCTTCTAATCTGAGGACTGATGCTTTTAAACTTCACCACAGTTAAGAGGAACTCCACGAAAGCCTAAGGTGTTAGCTGATCATTTCCTATTGCACCACTAATCACGGATGCACTCCCAGTGTCTTCTGGTCCCAGTGTCTCCTGCTCTTAGCTCTGACACCTGACCCTCTCGCCTTGGAGCTCAGACCCTGCCACTCCCGCTCAGCTAGCCAAGAGGAAGAGGAGGCCCAC